TGGCTTCGTATCTTCTGCATCTTTGGTCATACAGGTAGTGATTCTTCTGTTGTTTCCTCTGGTAAAGAACGATAATAATTGTGTTTCACTGTCTAATTCTCATTCTTCACAAGACCAAACAACACTGCACTACTAGTGTGTGTTAGGTGGCAGCCAAAGAGCATGAGGATTCTCTTCCACATTTAGTGAAACACTGTGGGTCACATCATTTCAATATGATGAAATAACTGAGCGGGCGACCTGCTCCTGAAATTTTCTTGGTGAAAAAATGATTGATATGTGCTTTAGAGTGATTGGTTGGTTTGGCAACCTCCTGATTGAGCAGTGCATCATTCACTTCACATTCACCTTACAGTTAATGTATTTTTAATGTATTCCTGCCAAACTTCTGGAAACTGCTGTACATTATTTTATAATACAGTTTTCTTAGCAAGCCTTATTCAAAGGTGCACAATGTGTTCTTGCATGATATTTTATTAATATGAGCTTTGGTAAATACTCAGCCAAGACTCTAGAGACACAACTGCAACCACTTACACATATTGCACAGACTTGAGTTTTAAGTCACTGGAGACCCCATAACCAGGATGGAGAAATTCAGAAAGATGAATTTGGGTCATGGGGAATGCTACTTTGAGAAATGACTGCTCTAGTTCTTTTTGATCCCTATAAAGAGGCCCCAGGACTCAACAGAGTTGTTCACCAAGAGAGTGACCTTGACAAACCAGTCTACCGTTGCCTCCCACCTGCCCCACAACACAATTTTCACGACAGGCAGGACTAAAAATAATTTAGCCACTACCACTGTGAGAACTTGACCAGATGTAACTGGGCATGTTTTCCTGTTCACTTGAGCTCTTTCCATAAGCTTTATTTCTAAAAGTGCCAGTTCTTCTGTGCTTTGCTCAGATCAAACAAGAATTGATTTATCAGACTAAATTGCATTTCAAAAGGTCAAAATCAACATAGTGTTGTATGTGTGTCTTGGCCACTGCCTAAAAGGATAGTTCCATTAAAATATGAAAATTCTGTAATCATTTACTCACCCTCATGTCATTCCAAACCTATATTACATTCTTTCTTCTGTGGAAAATAAAAGCTATTTTGTAGAATGTTGGTAACACTTTTGGTGAAAATTGACTTCCAATGGCCAAAAAAAAGCAGAGAGATGTTTCTTTAAAAAAATAAAATAAATCTTTATTCTGTTGGGCATCTGGTTCTGCCGCCCTCAAATGGGTCGCATCGAATTGCGGCTCCTCTCATGTTTGACATGGCATCAGGTGGCACACGCCAAGCTGGCCCCTGGCTGCTGTAAATCATGCCGCTCCCAGGAATTTGTGGCGACAGCAGCAAGGCCACTGGGAAAGAGCAAGCCAGATTGGAAACAGAGGGATTTGCATAATAACCTCTCCAGTAGGGTTGGGTATCGTTTTTTTTTTTCCGATACCGGTGCCTGAACCGATACTTATTAAAAAATAAATAAAAAATCCCCCAAAAAATGATGGATTGGCCATTAGAATAGAAATAGAGTAGAGAGTGCAAATGTTACGTCAAGTTTTTTAATTAAAAAAAACAAGCAGATCAAATTAGAAGTAGCATTAGAATAGAGAGTGCTAGAATTAGAGGGTCAAATGAAGATGAAAGAGATGTGTTTTCAGCCGTTTCTTGAAAATATTAAGGACTCAGCTGCTTGGATTGAGCTGGGCAGATCATTCCACCAGGAGGGAACAGTTAATGTAGAAGTCCATGAAAGTTTTATAGGTAGAATGCAAAATGTTTCAATACAAGCATTTCAGTCAAATGTAATTTATGCAATATTTCAAACATTTAACCCACAAGGGAAAATCAACCAATGGCAACAGTAGCCCAATTCCAAGGGGGAAAAACGCAGACTTGGCAACCCTGCATCCAATGCAGCTGCAGGAGTCAGATTTAACTGATCACAGGTCGAGAGTAAGAAGAGATGACTGACAGACCATGCTGGAGGATTTGCTGCTCAACAGACTGACAGATATCTGATCTTGTAAGATGTGTTCTTTTTACACAGAGTGCCTGATCACCAAATCGAAAGTGAAAGAGAACAGCGAGTGCTCATTCAAAAGAGATTTAAATACTCTGCATAGCGATAGCGGCATGGCCGTAGCCAGACTTTGAAAATTAGTGTTTGTGGGAGGAGGGGGGTGCTGTAATAATACAACTCGTTATATACAGACAGATGTTTGTGATGTTTGTAAAAGATGTCTTCTCTGTTTTGGAGGGATGATCGTTTTTAAATCATACCCTATTTATTGCATCAAAATTTGTTAATACTTTAATATAGTTATGGGGTGGATAATTTTATCAGTTGTTTATTATTCATGCAACAATAGATATCATTGTTATAGTTTTCATTAATAATCATTGCTATATGATAACTATGTCTAGTGTTCTTATGAATGTTTATAGCCTGATTTGTGAAAGTTTAACTACTATACTGAATGACATACAGTAGCATAGACTTCTTCATGGCTTGTGTTTGCGGATTTCATTTCATTCTGTAATCTACTTGTTCTACAGATCTGTGTACTAGTGTTAAATGCTACTGTTTTTGACAGCCTTGATAACATTTCCAATAGAAAATATTGTGATAATTTTTGCGTTTTCCTTACAGAATGTCGAATCCTGTCAGCAATAACCTGTCCGTGGGCTTTTTTGATTACTGTCAGTTTAAGTGCTGGCGATGCAGTGTTGCCAGATAGTGTTATAAAAAAAAAAAGAAAGAAAGAAAAATAAACCGAAATTATTTCACATCTTTTGAAAATAAGATAAGATAAAAATATCGCTGAAACGGCAACTTCCTACTTTATTAACGTTCTAAAGTGTCAGATTAACTCTTTCCTATTTTTTCATATTTATTGTTTATTTTATTTTTCTTTATAATGAAGTAGTCTGTATCTAGTAGATTGTGAAAGAATGATTATCAGTTCCACACACAGAGATATATAAATTCTACATTTATTTAAATGAGGGAAAAAAAACTTCACTGGTATCGGTATCGGCCAATACCGAACCCTAGATATCGGAATCGGTATCGGAGGCGAAAAAGGCGGATCGGAGCATCCCTACTTCTTACGTCCGTTTCGGAGAACCAGAGGACAAATATTTCAATCGATCGCTCAGGCATGGCACCGAAATGAGGCACCGAAATTTGCGTTCGGATTCGGTTCTAGTACATACCGGTTACATAGGTACCGGTGCCATATTGGTACCGGGTTTCGGTACCCAACCCTACTCTCCAGTTGTCCTCTGGAGAGCAGGTTTCCAGTTCACGCTCACCTTTTGCCTTGGATTCTTCTTATACCTTCTTCTTTTTTTGTTCACACAGACTGTCGAGACATTTCAAACATTTCAAGAACTATGAGCTCTTGTTTGTGATATTCAACTGTAGTGAATGTGTGGACAGGATGGTTTATTATTTATGGTGTTGATTTTCACCTGCTTAATTCCTACTCATGTTTAATGCGTATTGGCAGGTCTGAGTTGTTTGTCTTTGCAATATGTAGCCTTGTGCATGTTATAGAGAGAAATTATATTTCACAACATCTTTATTAAAGAGTAAAGGGCACATGCTTGCATTATTAATGTTCATAATAATGATTTATATATGAAGGTTCAACCTTACGTTCCCAAGACAGATTCATCTTTTCTACATATGTGGGCTTTGATCAGAAAATCAGTTGATTGAAGACATACTTGATAGATACAGTATTAATTTATCATGTTAATATTGTTTATAGCCTAGATATTCAACTTTTATTCTTTCACATGTGTGAATGAGTCTGGTCATGTTGCCTTTGAGATAGAAGCAGTACTGCTTAATTAAGTACTGTAGTATCAGCAAAATCACAGCCAACAATCCAACCAGTGACTGACACTCACCTTTCAGTTACAGTTACATTCTTACTGGAGTTTTAAGTGTATAAAGGTTTTTAACTGGTCTTGAAATGGGTATTGATTCATTTTAAACTTCTTTGAGCTATTTTCATCTTCAGGCTTTAAAATCTTCATCATGTGAGATTATAGCACATCAGTAACTCATCAGTGTCATAATTATTCATGAGATGTTGTATCGTTATACTATGAGAAGGCGCTTCTCTTTATTCACACCAGTATGTGCAGCTTTCCTATGACAGATGCTTCAAACTGTGAGATCATGTAGAGTAGCTGAGACTCGTTCATGTATCACAAGTGAGTGTTTGTTTTTCACTTTGTAGTTTCTGCCTGGTATCTTTAGAGCTCATCGATATATCCAATCAAACAGCTTATATAAACATTGCAAAAATAACACTTGTGTGTATGTGTATGTATGTGTGTATATATATATATATATATATATATATGTATGTATATATATTTGATGCAGAGTTACAAATGTAAACATTTGTGCATATATTTGTGCATTTAAACCATAGCTATGACAGGGTATGTGTTTATTTGTGTAATGTTCTGTGAGCTTATAAAACCCATATTTAATATTTGTTTGTTTTGATGTGTGCAGTGTTGAACTGCAGCCTGTATTTGTGGGAACATTTGATGCTTTTAACTCTGAGAACGAAATAAAACTGAATGGCTTAGAAGCTGTTGTCTCCCCTGTTCCTTCTGGGCACCACAGCTTAATATGCACACTTTTTTTTTTTTTTTTTTTCCCAAAACTCTCGAGAACTAAATGTGCTGAAATAGGGAGTTTCATGACCCTTTAAACAAACATTTTCTTTCTTCTGTTCTTTCTGTTATAGATATTGGACATGAACTGTATTTGAACTGATAACGTATATCTTCTCTTTTCAACTGAACAGACTTATTAACATCTGCTTAAATGTCTAACAGCTTGTATTTTTTTTTTTTTATTAATGATGTAGAATTGAATTGTAATGATGTAAAACTGTTTATTGAGAATCAATTTGCATTTGTTGTGTGATATTTGGTTTGGTACTGATGTCTTCTCTTCTTTCTTCTTTTAGCTGTCTGGGGAACCTACGCAAATATGAGGTAATTATCATTTCTTTTTGTATTACTAGAAGATGTTTCAGACAGTTTGCCAGCTCGGTCTACTGCAAAAAAAATCTGCTTTCCAGTAAATGTTGGAAAAACTAGTAGATGTCAGATTTACAGTTGTATTGCTCAGATGGGCTTAAAGCTGCCATCTTGGGGCTTTTAATAAATATCAGTCAAATTTATAATTTCTCTTTTTTTTTTTTGGCCAATGAATCACACTCAAAATATGGCTGCTTTTGTTTTATGATAGTGCAGTATTGCATCCTACTATGCTGGAATGTCAACCAGACTGATATTATCATATGTGTAGTATTAACATTATATCAATATTTAATTTTTTAATATCACAGTTATCGTCAACACCAGTATATTGTGTTGGAATGCTGGTGGAGGTCAGCAGAATAGGTTTAAATATGGTAAAATGTGTAAACGTGTAAACAGTCAACATGAAATAAAAATGGAACCAAGATAAAATATTAGTTCATGCATTCCTGTGGAATCAAACTAATGATATTTAATGCAATGCCCACTTTTGACAGTTAAATCAATTCCAGATTAATAAAATTAAGTCCTGCTTTATTTTTGAATATCCTATTTCACTCAGATTTATCACATTACAACTTCTGGAGATGTGTATACTGTGGGTGATTTGTGTTTGAAATTTTCTATGGTGTTCATTGATTCCGATCGAAGCCCATAGCTCATCCCTGCGTGAATGACTGCTGCACTGTGCGATAATCAGAAACTGAGATTAGACTTATTCACTGGGCCGTGGAAACAAGCTTTGGTATTGATCAACTGCTGTCATGTGGTTTTGTTGACTCTGAGCATCTTCATCGTGTCCAGACTGAGCTGAGGAAGAGTTTTGTGTGCTTCAGACAGCTCTGCTGTGCAAGTGTGAATCTTTGTGTACTTGCGTATCTCTGTGGCTGTGATAAAGCCGTCTGTTGTTGTTTTCCACAGGTCTATACAGGAACATGGAGAAATGAAGGTTGAGCAGAGGATAGATGAGGTTTGTTAGCGCAAGCTGTTCACATTCATTGTCAAGCTTTGATTTGATTTTTTTTTTTTTACTTGCCTAATTTTAACATTTTTACTTTTTCACATTTTTCGTTAGTGTCAGCACCTGCCTCATTTTAACTGGAAACCATATGTACCTAACAGCTGATATCCACACTTCAAACTCTCGGGAAACATTGTGCAGCTACCCAAGAGCGCCATATAATTAAGATTTTAATTACTCATGCCTTTGATAGCAATTAAGTTTCCTAGTCAGGGGGCAAATAACAAGCAGTGCTGATCTGTTTTATGTTCTGCTTGGAAACCTCAAAAACTTTTTCTCTGTGCGTGATGCTGCCCTGACTACATGTGTGCTGTTGTCCAGTCTTTGTTATTTGAAAAGTGTTGATTTTAGGCATTTTTGTCCATTTTGGCATTGCTGTTTTGCGAAGGGTAACAGATAAAGACTGGAATACACTACACAACATTTAAAATCTGAACAGATTTTCAAACACTAGGCATCATACACTTGCCAATGTTGTAAATGGTTACAAAGACAAACTGGGTATCAAAACTGAGCATCACACACTACCAGACTTTCAAGTCATTTCCAACACAACAACAACCTCATACAAGAAACAAATGAAAACGATGTGTGTTCTGAAATCGGCTCAAAATCTTAAACATGTTTGATATCCTGGCCAAAATCTTTCAGCAACTAGCATTGATTTGGCCAGACTGCAAATTGGGCAAAAATCTGAGCAAAAGTCAGTGGTGTATTCCAGCATTTAACTGTTTTGTATTATCAACAGGTATACATTAGGGCTGCACGATTAATCGCATGCGATATTTAACGCGCATCTTATCAGTAAAGCCGATTCTGTAATCAGCGGTAAATCTCTATCACCTGCGTGCTTTCACATCGAGCAGCATTAACTACACAGAGCCGTTGTTCACTGAGGAGCTGCGCAAAAAATCGCGCGATTATGAACGTGGTTTAGCGCAGCTCGTCAGTGAACAACGGCTCTGTGTAGTTAATGCTGCTCGATGTGAAAGCACGCAGGTGATGGAGATTTACCGCTGATTACAGAACCGGCTTTCTGACAAGATGCGCGTTAAATATCGCATGCGATTAATCGTGCAGCCCTAGTATACATACAGAAAGAAATAAACATTTTGTGTGTGATGTAAAGCCTGGTGCTTGATTTCACACCTGGAGCATTAATATTCCTCATTTAGGAGTCACACTTGTGATCCTCAGCCCAAAGTCAAAGAGTTTAACTTGTTTAAACAATGAAATGAATATACTGTATTTTGTTTCATTAATATTAGTGCTGTCAATCGATAAAAAAAAAAAACGAATTAATCACGCTTTTTTTTTCTGAAATTAATTGCGATTTGTTCTTTTTTCCCCTAATATTTAACTAGCCATTCAACATTAAAGTGTAACTGAGAGCTATCAATTTTAACATTTATTAGACTTTAAAAAAGAACAACTTCTAATTTAAGTGAACTTAAAACAATCTTGACATAAACCCATTATAATAAATGTCATAATTACCTGTGCCCTTCAGCAAGGAAATATACAGAAATTGAATAAAGTTATCAAACACTAAATTCTAAATTAAATACAGATGAATCCTTAACGCTACAAAAGTTGATTTCCTCTTTTTTCTTTTGTTCTTTGATGAACAGACATCACAGCAGCTGGTTATTGGGTTATTTGGCTGCTATTACTTTAAGAGCTGCCGCTGCTGAACGTGACGCGGATCTGACACACATGCTCATACTTTCGTTTGTGCTTTGATATGAAATGATACAGGCTGCAGCGTGCACCACCGTATTTGTGCGCACAATTGAAGAGCACGCGCTACAAGCAGAGTATAATGGCTGACCGGACAGGAAAATTTGTTTGTACTGATATATGAACTGACAGCAGTTCACTGTTGTTCTACTGAAGCTCCTCATCACCTGTACCGTTTCCGCATTTGGCTCACGCCTGGTGCTGAGGTGAAGTGGAGTGCTCGTCTGAAAAGTCTCCCATTTGATGAGGTCTTAAAGACGTTCTGCATCTAAATAAATGCAATTCTTGTCAAGAAATTAAGAGACCGAAGCAGCAGTTGTGAGTGGGGTGGCCAACACTAGCTCCGCCACTGCATTAACTGCGTTAAATATTTTTAACACCGTTAAACTGGAAAAATTAATCTGCTGTGTTAACACGCTAATTTTGACAGCACTAATTATATTACATTATTATATTATGTGCATTTTTGTTGTATAATTTAAATATGCAGTTTCTACTTTTAAAATTTATTTATTCAAGTTATAAGTATAAAAATAAGTATAACCAAACATACTGTGACATTGAAATAATATGCCATTTTAGAGTTAGAGTTAATAACAATAAGTAACTTTTGGTAGTTTTCAGGTTTGTAATAGCATATTTAGAATAGGCATAAAATGTCACGAATTAGCCCATGAAAAACACACTAATCTGAATATTAGGTGATTGTCCAGTGTCAGTGATGGCTGGAGGTGGAGAAATGGAAAAATATTTAGGCACGAGGCAAGTTGGAGCTAAACTCTGCAGTACACTGGCCCTCCAGGACCGAGTTTGGGCACCCCTGTACTAGACAGTATTGACCTATATTAAATATAAACCTAAATTAAATAGTATTAAATTGTGTGCCACTTTTTCTATAAAAAAATTAATACAAAATTTAAGTTAAATGCACTGCATGGAAGGCAGTTGAACCACTAGATGCTTTAACAGCCCTATATATGTGACCTTGGACCACAAACCAGTCATTAGTAGCATGGGTATATTTGTAGCAATAGCCAACAATACATTGTATGGGTCAAAATTATAGATTTTTCTTCCCCGCCACTACGTTAACTGATTTAAATATTTTTACCGGCGTTAAACTGGAAAATTTAAACGCTTGCGTTAACACGCTAATTTTGACAGGACTAATTAATATTTTTATTTTGTATTTTGTATTTTTAGGGAATATTATAGTATATACTACCAGGGGTGCCCAAACTCGGTCCTGGAGGGCCGATGTCCTGCAGAGTTTAGATCCAACCCCAATTAGACACACCTGAAGCAGCTAATCAAGCTCTTACTATGCATACTAGAAACTTACCGGCAGGTGTGTTGAGGCAAGTTGGAGCTAAACTCTGCAGTACACTGGCCCTCCAGGACCGAGTTTGGGCACCCCTGTACTAGACAGTATTGACCTATATTAAATATAAACCTAAATTAAATAGTATTAAATTGTGTGCCACTTTTTCTATAAAAAAATTAATACAAAATTTAAGTTAAATGCACTGCATGGAAGGCAGTTGAACCACTAGATGCTTTAACAGCCCTATATATGTGACCTTGGACCACAAACCAGTCATTAGTAGCATGGGTATATTTGTAGCAATAGCCAACAATACATTGTATGGGTCAAAATTATAGATTTTTCTTTTATGCCAAAAATCATTAGTATATTAATAAAGATCATGTTCCATGAATATATTTTGTGAATTTCCTACTGTAAATATATCAAAGCTTAATTTTTGATTAGTAATATGCATTGCTAAGAACTTAATTTGGACAACTTTAAAGGCGATTTTCTCAATATTTTTATTTTTTTGCACCCTCAGATTCCAGATTTTCAAATAGTTGTATCTCGGCCAAATATTGTCCTATCCTAACAAAACCATACATCAATGGATTCAGCTTTCAGGTGAATATAAATCTTGATTTAAAAAAAAAAATGACCATTATGAGTATGACTGGTTTTGTTGTCCAGGGTCACATATATGATTTATATATATGAAAAAAAAAAATGAAATAATTGGTACACACGAGAAGGTTATTTAACTTTTTGTGCTGTTTTTGTACTGACGTCACCAAGCCCTCTTATTTGCCTCTTCAATTACCTGTCAGTGAATGCCAAAACAACTTTTCACTACCTAATTAGTTGCAGATGCACAACATTATTTTTATTATGCTGATTCACTCAGCAATGCAGTGCAACTCTTCATGTTGCTTTTAAAAGTTATAACATGTAACTCAATCTGTACCATGGTGCCATAGACATGAATGATAAATCAAATTATCAAGTCAAGTCAAGTCTGTATGTGGGTTGTAAAGATGAAGTAACTTGTTACATTTCTTAGCATTTAGATGTACCAACTCCTCCTGATGGGTGACAAAACAGGTGAAAATATTGAATTGGTTTAAAATGTAGGTAAGAAGCAGAACCTAAAAACCAGAATATCAGACCTGGGCCAGTAAGAAATCACCTAGAACACCCATAGCAACAGACTGCTATATTTTTAACTTGTCATATTTGTTATTCACATGCTCCATGTTTGAGTAAGTGTACTTTGTACCACAAGTTCACACACACGTCTTGTTTGAAACCCATTTAATTTAACTCATGCTGGTTTTTGTACACGTACATTCACATTAAAAGTCAGTGCTATAACTGCGATCTCTATCGTCTCATTATAGATCCCAAATGTCTGCTTATCACCTTGTGAAAGCTCATTAGAAAACGTGTTTCCCCTATCTGCTTGACCTTAAGGTTCAAAGTATGTCAACACCTGCTAAGGCTTATTTGTCAGCATCTGTGATAGCTTTTAGAAACGCTGACATTTATTCCCCTGCCTGATGTTTGATATTTAATTTAAAGAGGTGGTACAGTTTGGAGGTGTTCTTTGACCCAGATCTTAACTGTTGCTATTCTCAGGCAAATGTTTGGGTTACACTTTATTTTAAGGTGTCATTGTTACAGTGTAATTATACATTTAAGTAGTGAGTAATATTAATTAACAACATGCGCTTACTATAGGGTTAGGTTTAGGATTAGGGTTTGGTTTAGGGTTATTGCATGTAATTATGCGTAATTTTGTGCTAATACTATAGTAAGTACATGTAACGTGTAACAAGGACACCTTAAAATAAAGTGTTACCAAAGTTTGTAATTTTGACTGTCATTTGGCATGTTAATAAATTTAGGCATACTTAATAAACATAACTAATACTTAAGGATTTGTGCTTGAATCGGTTGAAGTATTTAGATTCATTACATGATAAGCTGATTGGTTAAATTAATCATAGTTAATTACATGTATCAGTACTTGCTGAGAAAAGCCAACAAATTTTTAAAGAAGTTTTAAAGTGCTGTTTTTATTTTATTTTAAATTGTTCTCCACATTTGCATGCAGTCAGGTTTATTATATAATTATATTTATTATGCCATTTTTTTTACCGGTATTATTAAATGTATGTTAGGCAAGTATGCAATTGATCAGAAGTAACAGTAAAGACATTTATAATGTTACAAACAATTTCTATTTCAAATAAATGCTATTCATCAATGAATCCTGAAAAAAAGTATTACAGTTTCCACAAAAATATTAACACATAATAAACATAGCATTCATAATAATAAGAAATGTTTCTTGAGCAAAACATTTCTGAAGGATCATGTGACACTGAAGACTGGAGTAATGGCTGCTGAAAATTCAGCTTTTCCATCACAGGAAACGCAACGCAACGCGTAAAAAGACAGTATAAGTCATTATAATCAGTGATTATGTCCCCACTGGATGCAACAAATGCCTCGTTTGTAAAGGGTTTTAATGTTTTTGTCTCATCGCTCCGGCCTGACACGGCATCACAGTATGGTAAGGGCCGTAACATTTCCGTCTCACGCTTGAGGTGTTCGGCCAATCACAACGCATTGGATAGCTGGCCAATCACAGCACACCTCGCTTTTTCAGACCGATGAGCTTTGTAAAAATCAACGCGTTTCAAAAAGGCGGGGCATAGAGGAGAAACAATAATGTACAGTATGTGGAAAAGAATGTGTTTTTTTAACTTTAAACCTCATAAACACATTTCATTACACCAAATACACCAAATAATGTTCTTTTTAGCAGCATCGTATGACCCCTTTAAAATAGAAATTAGAAAACAATTAATTGTAATGATTATTCTATTATATTTTGCAGTATTACTGTTGTTGCTGTATTTTTGATCAAATAAATGCGGCCACGTTAATCACTTCTTTCAAAAACATAAAAAAATGTGTGAATGTGTAGTGTAAGCTATTTGATGTCTTATTCGAAATGCATTCAATTGACAGTTTTGCTTAAAATTCCAGATAGTATGCAAAAAGTCAGTGTAAGGGCTGCAGTCAGGCCTGCATTTCTTTTGGTGACCCACCTTTCTGCTGATTAGTGGCTCAATTAAAGAATGAGTAATGATTCAAAGATTAATTCCTGTTCCCTCACCAAAAGCCATTTCATGTTGGTCTCCTTGTCACACAACCCTGTAATACGGACTGCTCTCAGATTCATCTGTAAATCATTTTGAGGGCTGATAGTGTTTGATGACTGTCTCAGTCAGAGATAAATTTCTACCGTTCTATCAGTTCTGTTTTCTTTAGAAAGCTTTAACTGTCCCAGTCTCTCCTGGGTAATTGATATAGTCCCCCTCACTCTCTCTATTTTTCTCTGATTTCCTGTTCCCTTTGTTTCTTATATATCTTTTCTTTGCCCGTCCTGTCCTGTTCTTATGGTCATATCTTACTCTGTTTCTTACAGGCAGTGGCACCTCTCAGGGAGAAGATACGAGAACTTGAGCTTAGGTACGTTTTTATTTTACACCCAGAATACCTACTTTTTTTGAGTCTTTTACAGATAATAAAATAATCTTGCATAGTACAATTATTTCAAAACACGTTAATAACAAGTAATCATTTGAGTAGGCTAGAAAAGTTTTACGCGTAGGATATTGCTCAGCCTAAAATTGCACTGTGAGTTTGCCTCGTAAAGTGGCATGTGCTGATAAGCAGGGCTGAATTCATGACGAAATGAAGCAGATGAACTGAAGCATAGTGTGCAGCAAGCTTTGATTGACATAACAAGAGGGGGACAAGTTACTCCTCAGTCCCTGGTTTTTTTTTTTGTTTTTTTTTTAATGAGATGAGAAGTCTCTGCAGTTTGTAACTGTCTTGTTTCTTCACTTTGCTGCATCTCAGCCAGGCCCAAATGAGATTGTTTGATGCTCAGTGTAAATTACCTGTGTTAGAAGATTCATCAAACAAGCTGAAGTGTCATGGCAGCAGTATGAAATGAATCTTGTTTTTACTAAAGCTAAATCAGTTTGGCTAAAATAACAAAACTTGGATAGTGTTTTGTCACTTTTTAACAAGGTACCACCAGTATTATCAGCATGGGCTGTGCTCCTAAAATACTATTTTTACTGCTTCTGTGGGAAATTGCATGTGGGAGGAAGGATTTATGATTTTCTTTCCCCAGTAATGCAGTGGCATTTTTATATCCCTCATTTTTTTTTCTTCCACGTTCATAATATTCATTCTTGCATCGCTCAAGCAAAACGCCAATTCACTGCTTTCCTGATAACCTGAGCCAAAGAATGAACATTTGAGTTGCACTTGTTATTTGAACATAACAGATAGCACTAATGTATATAATGCTCTACATGCAAGACATAAAACAAGTATAGCAATCAGCAATAAAATCTACAGACATTAAATAAAATGTATATTTTTTAAATGCAGCTTTTCAGAATGGCAGTGATAGTGATTTATTCTGATGGGTGAATTGATGGTTTTTGTTCTTATGAGGTTTCACTGGAGTGCATACAGAGCCCATGAGATCTGAGTTATGTAAAGAAAAGTGTCCTCTTTAGGACCAGTTCAACAGTTGAAATGATCAGTGATGGAGTTATCAGTGAAGTCAGGGGACTAGGAGAGAGTAGGGTTATCTGTATCTACAAATCCATTTGTCAGTATTGAGAAACTCAAGAATAATTGGATGAGAAAATCACAAGCACGGAATCATCCCCCTGGATTCTGGAAATGGTATTGAGTTTCTGCGCTCAGACACTGACATATTTAATACTGACTGGTGGATTTGTGCTGAACTATTTTGAAAGAGAAGCAAGGAAAATGTAATGTACTTAAAATCCAGTTCTTAAGAACCTTTTTCATTAGCATTGATTTCTTTGCACTTATGTCTCTGTGTAGTGTGCTGTGGACATATAGAAGATAATTAGTCTTGAATGATGCTTATTTAAGGTTTTCTTTAATTTTACAGTTTTACCCAGAAGTACCCACCTGTGAAATTCTTATCTGAGAAGGACCGAAAGAGGATTTTGGTGAGAAGTTCTTTTCAGTCTTCTTCGGTGTCTAGAACTACTAATACATTTACATCTATCTGTCAGATATACATTGCATCCCTTGCTCCTTACTAAATTAAATTTGGTCATCATTGTTTATTGCCATTTCCTTGTTCATTTTCCACTCTTTGACAGATCAGCGGCATTTTTCTTCCTCCAACTGAAACGTTATTAAATAAAATCTCCTGCTTTCTAAGGTTAAAGTGACAGATTGAAGCTTAACCAATTTGACAGATATGTCACAGTGAAGTAACTATAGTTATTTCAGAGGACGTTTTTTCAATAGGCTGCGTTGCACCCAGATGATTGAGACTGGAAGTATGTAGAAGCAATGAGGAAACGAGAAACTGCAGGGAGTAGAAACACTGCGCAATTCTTCTGATTACTCACTGTGCCGATTTAACCCCGTGTTGTGATTCAATCCCATGTGACCGCTGCTTTATTCAAATGTTTCTCAAACTTAAGTAAATAAACATTTTTAATAATTTATGACTTTATGTACTGTACTTCAGTAATGTTGGCATGTGACTGATATACAGTCTTTCCTCTGGTAGATCACCGGTGGGGCAGGATTCGTGGGCTCGCACCTCACTGATAAGCTGATGATGGATGGTCATGAAGTGACAGTGGTGGATAATTTCTTCACTGGCCGCAAGCGCAATGTAGAGCACTGGATCGGCCATGAGAACTTCGAGCTGATCAACCATGATGTGGTGGAGCCTCTCTATATTGAAGGTGGGTGCATTCACATAGCAGAAGATATCTGTATTTTCTGGTATCCAAAACTAGCTTTAGAATTTAAAACTCTTTTATCTGCACAAAATGCCACAAAGGTACAAAGTAGATGAACATGACATGAAACTATAAGAAATCTCTTTACTTCTGTGCACTTGTCATTCACACTTGTTTGTCTGTGAAATGCATGTGTTGATTACAAGTTCTTTCTATTTAGGGTGGGATTGTTCAAACAGGCATTGTTTTGGCAACTAAAAAGAAAGAAAGAGGAAAATGATTTAGACTGAATTTACTTTGTACGTTTTAAAAGTACAAGAGGTGGGGATGGACAGAAACTTCCAGCATTGAAGGAAGACGGCTTTCGTAAATTCAATCTGGTTTGAGGACAGTCACTGTCTGTGACAATGAGTGCTTGAATGAAGCGATAAAGTGCTTAGAGGAGCTTCAGGTCATTATTTTGGCCCAGGTGTGAGACTTTTTGCCCCTCTTTGTCAGGTAGCATCACACCTCCCACCACTCCTGCTAATCAAAACAGGAGAAGTGAGAGGGCGGCTAGTTAAAAACAATGTCAGCTATCTTTGTAATGGAAAATCTCAGCAGCTGGTGTCAACCCCTGATGAGTAAAGGGTGATACACTGTGACATTAGCCACATTCACACAAGAAGCCTGTTAAATTAAAGTCAAATTTCAGAATTTGTCCATAAATGTACCACAGCTATTCACAAACACAAAGACTTTCTTTTACTCGTTTCGCAAATGTGCATGCATCTCCACCAAAATGTTGTTAAAACACTGTGATTGTAATCACTGCCAGTCTAAAAAAACGTTCCCAAAAAGTCTTAATTTGCCCTTCCACAAATTAAGGCCTTAAAAAGGTCTTAAATCAGAACAGAAAGTGTTGAATTCATAAAGGCATTACATTAAATGTTGCATGCACTGCAAAAAATTAGTATCTTCCTTATGATTTTTGTCTGGTTTTCCACTACAAATATCTTAACATCCTTAATTTATTTAAGTTGCAAAATTAAGATTTCTCACAAAACAAGACTTCTTATCTTGCAACATTTTGCTTCTCAAGTAAATGTTTAGATGTTTACTGGAAAACAAGACTAAAGAAGAACAGCACTTTTTGCAGTGTTATCAGATGGTACAGTAAAAGTTATTTCCATATTCCAGTGGTTGAGAGCAGAGGTATTGAAGCAGTAAGCTCTTTTTTAAGCAATTAAAAAGTAATGGAGATCTGTTGGAAGTGTTGCTAATACAGCTCATTGTGTGATCCTTAGACATTTTACATTTAGAGAACATTCATTTTGACGTATTGTGTCCCCGTCCATTTATTAATTGAATTTTCTTGACTTGGTCTTAAAAAGCCATGAAAAAGTCTTAACCTTTACCTTCATAAATTCTTCAGAAACCCTGGTAATGTCATTGGCTGGAAATGACATTTTAACAGCTGCATCATTTCAGCATTTGTCCAATTTGACAACATTACAGTAGATAATCATAATTTTTGACTTCCACATTACAGGCCTAAAACAAAATGGCATGGAGTAACTTGGCCAACACAATCTCGTGATTAAAAGTAACTTTTTTTACAAGGTGGCAATTTCGTATTAATTATCATACAATGTGATTTGTACGAAATTGTACGGTTTTTAGAAAAAAAGGTGCACATGAAGCTCCAATCTGAAACCCAACCTTGAACTTCACCATCAGTGGGGCATAAACAGATGGTACAAAAACATACAAAAGGGATACCAATTTGCCAAAACAAAATAGTTATTAATAGTTTTTGAACATTTTGACTGCAGACTTCTTACATCAGAGCATTCTGACCTTGTACATGCTCTAACCATTAATCTTACAGCTTTTCTGAACTTTTCTGGCAGTGATACAACTTCATAAGCTGGCTCAACGGGCCCGGCACACGCATTACCTCTAAACTGGAAAAATACTCTTGAAGGTGGTGTATGCTAAAGCGCTTTTGTTTTCTGACAGATATTTTTCTTTTGGGTGGTAGTCTCTGGTAACAAAATGGTTATGGTAATAATGGTACATCAAATAATAGAAAATATCTGCACACTTTTATTCTCCCTTTATTCAAAAAAGTAAAAAAAATAGCAACGTTTCGGTCAAAGACCTTCGTCAGGCAAACACGCATACAAGCAAAGGCAATAGCTCAATAAGTACTCCGATTCAAACAGAGTTCCAATTGATGACACCTGTCAGCAATCAAAGTCAATCATGTAAACAGCTATAGTATATCACATTTAAAACAAGACAACCACATTGAGGCAAAAACTTAAATACAACCACAATATCAAAAAAATCCCCAACACCAAAACACTCCCCCATCTTTTTTATAATTCTCAATTACTTGTCCTAGAACTAATCAATGCATAACTATACAACACATATTTAGGTACAAACGAGAATGTATCAACAACATTCACCTTTAAATACAAAAAAATATATCAGTTAGAAACATGAGTTAAAGTCAAGTTCTAAATTCAAGCCCTTAGGGGAGTGTGGAAAGGTTATGCCTTTTTGAATTAAAATGTACTGCTACCGGGTTTTTTTGATCATTTGTGTGTATACTGCTTCGATGTTCTGCAATCCTAGTTTTTAAAGCACGTTGTGTCTTTCCTATATACGCCAAGCCGCATGGACATTTGATCATATAAATAACATTTTTAGTAGTACAAGTGATGACACCCTTAATTTTAAACTCCCTTCCTGAATGAGGATGAGAGAAGACATTCGTTTTTGTAGTGAAATTACACTGGGCACAACGACCACAACTATAGTTACCCGAAGGGATAGATAAGAAATGAGTGGGTCGTTCTACAGATAAGCTAACATCAGCTCTTACAAGGAGATCACGTATATTAGGAGAGCGTTTATACACAAACCTTGGTGTTTTTTCAAAGATATCACTGAGGGGAGGATCAGATTTTAAGATATACCAGTGTTTATCTATGATCTTTTTTATATCTGAACAAATAGGAGAATATTGAACAGCACATACAATGGTTTTATTTTCTGATTTTAACTGTTTTTTATTTAGAGATGTCTCTTGATTTTTATTTCCAAATCTCCTAACTGCAGACTGTATCCAATCTTCATTGTAAACCTCGCTCCCTAAATCTGTTTACCAGATCAGTGCTTTGTTGTGTATATGACTGTTCAGTACTACAAATTCGACGTATCCGGTTAAATTGACTAATGGGCAAGCTACGTTTCAAAGTTGTAGGACGGTAGCTCTGTCCATGCAAAAGTGTGTTACGATCAGTGGGTTTTCTGTAAAGATCAATGATTATTTTTTTTGCCATTCCTACTAATACGAATGTCCAAAAAACTAACACATGAATCATCATAATTAACTGTAAAACGTAAGTGTTCATCACTAGTGTTAAGAAAACTGTGAAATTGTAGCAGTTGATTTTCAGTACCTGACCATAACATAAAAATATCATCAATATCTTCGCCAAAGTGCAATATTTGAGAGAAAGGGATTTTGTAGACCATTAAAAATAATGCCCACATACAAGTTTGCATAATTTGGGGCCATGGTACTGCCCATGGTGGTACCCTTAATCTGAAGAAAGAAATCATCTTTGTATCTGAAAAAAATTGTGTCAACACCATTTTAGCTAATGTTTTAATGCAATGAACACTAGTGTGTTTGTTTTGATGTGGGTCTCTAAGAAAGACTTCTATTGCCTCAATCCCTCCTTCATGTGGAATGTTAGTGTATAGAGACTCAACATCGAATGTTATAAACAATATTTCATCAGGTAAAACAATGGATTTTAAAATTTGTATCATATCGATAGAGTCTTTTACAAAGGAGGGCAATGTAAATACAACTGGCTTTAAGAAAAAATCCACAAATGTTGAAATTTTCTCAGTAAGAGACCCGATTCCAGATATAATCGGTCTTCCTGGAGGATTAGTAAGGTCTTTATGTATTTTGGGAAGTATATAAATGACTGGTGTAACTGGATAATCAACCTTCATAAAATCAAACTCCTGTTTCGTAATCTCACCAACATCCACAAACTGTTGAAGGTATTCCTGAATTTCGTTCTTAAAAACATTGGTGGGATCAGTACTCAATTTCTTATAAAAGACATCACTTAATTGTCTTTCCACTTCTAGGTCATAGTTAGCAAAATTAATTACTACAATGGAACCACCCTTATCTGCTGGTTTGACTATAATAGTCTTATCTTTTCTTAACTCAAACAGAGCACTTCGTTCATCCTTAGTTAAGTTATTAAAAACTTTGTACTCACGCTTGTTAGAAAATACCTCCCGTACATCCCCCTCTACAAGACAACAGAACGTTTCTAATGAGGCATTTCTGTTCTTAAAAGGAACAAATGATGATTTACCTCGAAAATGTGTAGAAATTCTCATTGTTTCAGAAGGGGGAGAGTGATCAGAAGGAGGAGTATCTTCAACACTAGAGAGAGTATTCAAGGGTTCAACAATAGATCTATTACCAAAGAATTCTCTAACACGTAAAGTTCAAAAAAATGTTTGAAGGTCCACATAGGTGTTGAATTTATCATAATTGGTTGTAGGGACAAAAGACAGTCCTTTACTCAAGGCGGTTAAACCTGCAGGAGGAATAGTTTTATCAGACAAATTAATCACATTGGATATTTCCTGCTCCGAGTTTGATATCGCCGGGGAGAAAAGTCTCTTTTTCTTGCTCCTCCTACATTTTCTCCTTTTCTTCCTCTCACATTGCCTCTGGATATTAATATTAGTCGCCTTCGAGGTGTCACATCGTCTAAAAAAAGAAGATGAAGAGGAAGCCGTACTCAATTGAGTCTCAGAATTTTTTTGATATTGTGGTTGTATCTAAGTTTTTGCCTCAATGTGGTTGTCTTGTTTTAAATGTGATATACTATAGCTGTTTACATGATTGACTTTGATTGCTGACAGGTGTCATCAATTGGAACTCTGTTTGAATCGGAGTACTTATTGAG